GTTTTTCAACCGGTGAATAACAACCGCGGGCTCCGCCGTGCCGTGTTTATGTGGATTACGTCGCAAATTGCTTGTTCTGAGCCAGCTCGCTCGAGCGCTGCCTGCCCTCCCACGGGCTGAGCCGGGATGCACCGCGACTCGGGCCCTGCCGGGAGCCAGCACCCTCCAGTATGGCGGGGGAGCTGGGCTGGGGGCGATGGGGTGGGCTGGGGGGCTCAGGGACAGGCGCCTGGGCTGGCACCGCTCGGGGAGACGGGAGGCGGCAGCGCTTCTGATGGGTTTAAGTTTCTAAATGTCAGACTGTACCATTTACGCTTTCATTTTTCTTATTTATTTCAGCCATTATACAACCAGCCTTCAGACACCAGGCAGTACCATGAAAACATTAAAATGTAAGTACATGGCAATAAAAAGCTCTTTTAAATGTCAGGTTGGGCATTAGGCTGGAGCGGGAGGGATGCTCGCTGGCTCCCAGACCCCGATGAAAGCTGCTGAGGAATCGTGAACACGCTTTTAGAGCTGCTGTTTCACTGCTCCGGGTGCCTGAAGCACAAACCAGCTCTAGGAGCAGCTCCAGGAGCCCAGCAGTTGGGAGCTAAAGCTTCAGATGGATGCTGAAGGTGCTGTTTGATATTCTTGAGGGGGGTGAATGTGGGTCCTGGCTGGTCTCTTGGTATTTTCCCTGGAAGCACTCACCTTAGGTGCTTTCTTCTGTGTGTCACATATACTGAAGTACGAAATCAGCTGCCAGTGTGTGTGTGTGTGGTGTTTGCATGCGGGGAAGATGAGGTAAAATGAAAAGTTGCAATTACAATTAGATTTTCATGAAGCACCTCTTGAATGTCTAATAACAACTGGTTATTTCCAAGATACTTACTGAGACTTAGCAATCATCTAATTTGACTTATCACCTCAATACACGATTTAATCATCAACCTGCATTTAATAACCACAGTGACTTCCTGAACGTAGAAGAAATATAACAGATAACGAGAATAGCGATAATTGTGATTATTGTTGGAAATTTAAATAGTCAAACCAGATCTGAAACTTTTATCTGCCTTGAATGAACCGATGATTGCTCGGAGCTGCCTGCAGCGTGTCTATTTTGGTACGGGCTCGGTCAGCTGGCGATAATCATCTTTAATAATCTATTAACAAAAGTTAATAATCTTTTGCTTTTCAGCAGCGTGTTGATTGATGCCAAGGGGGT